AGCAACCGCCGACCAGGAGCAGCGTCAGGGTAGGTTCACGCGGCGACGGCGCGCCGGCGGCGCCCGCGAAGGCTTCCAAGGCTGAGTTCCGCATCGAAGAACGACGCGGACGCACCGAGTGGCACGGTAACGCCACGGGGCCCGACGGAATTCAGCCTTGGACGATCGGGGCCGCGACCATCGATTCGGGTTTTAAAGGTCGACGCGGTCGCCGACGCCGCGCGACCCTGCCGCAGGGGGGGGGACAGGCTGAGGGGTGAACGCGTCGGCCCTCGATGGCCCCCTGATCGCGGATAGGGACCATACAGCACCACGCCCGCCCAGGACCGTGCGGGCCTGCCATCGGGGGCCTGTCGCCGATTGGTCGGCCGACGCATCGCCGCTTCCAGGCCGATTGTGTCCCCCTCTGAGCCGGGTCCCTCCTGGCGTTGCCCCTCGGGGGGGAAGGGGCGGCCCTGCAGGGGCAGCGCGCGCTGGCCGCAGGGAGCGGGGCCAATGACCGACGACGACGACGACGACGACGACGACGACGACGACGACGACGACGACGACGACGACGACGACGAGGAAGGCGGCGACACGGCAGCGAAGGCTGGACGCCAGGCGACAGAGCGGCTCCTGAGCGCGGGTGCTCGGCTCCTCGCCTGCCCCTCCGCCAACGCAGTCCGCGGGGGGCATGCCACACAGCCGCAGCTGCCGTGTGGGCAGGCCAGGCGCCTCGTGCAATGTAAAGGGGAGGGTCCTGGAGGAGAGGCTGGACAAAAGTCGTCCAGGGGCAAGCCCAGCACGACGCATTGCCCTCATGCGGGAAAAAGGAGGGGGGAGGAGAAAGAAGGTGGAGGAGGGGAGAGGAGGAGGAGGAGGAGGAGGAGGAGGAGGAGGAGGGTAGAGGAGGAGGAGGAGGAGGAGGAGGGTAGAGGAGGAGGAGGAGGAGGAGGAGGAGAAGGAGGAGAGGAAGGGAGGAAGAGTGGGTGGGTGGCGGAACGATGAGGGCGAGGGATCGAGATTCAAGGGTCTGGGTCGTAAGTTCCAGCCGGCGGCCACCACGCCGGTGTCGTCGATCCCCTTCACGACGGCGGCCAAGAACGCCAACTTCACCCAGATGGGCGAGCCGCCAGCGTGGCACCATGGCACGCTGTCACCAGCACATCGTTGCCCGCCATCGCGTGGACCGTTCAGTGCCGTTTTTAATACATGCTCCGCGTGCGGATCATGTATTAAAAATGCACGGATTGAATATTAAAGACAACGATAAGTTCGTATTTGAATCCTATGTGTTTTAGATTCCTATGTGTTAAAAATTGCCCTGTGATGGCCGCAGAGCCTCAGAGCGGGCCCTCTCTCCCCCTCGCACGTAGGCAGCCAACGCGTCTCCGGTGCCCTGCGTGCGGCTCTTCCCCGTCGGGTCGTCCGGCCATCCTCGGGGGTGCCGCTCGCCAGCTCGCCCCGCGCGCCTCGGCCGCCACGTGGGTCTCGCACGCCGCCGCAGCTCCCGAAGGCGGGGGAGGGCGGGGCCAGCGGCCTGCCATTCGCCGATATGTGCCCGTGGCCTGGGGCGCCCACGGCCTGCGAAGGGGCCCTCCTCCTCCTCCGCCTCCTCCTCCTCCTCCTCCTCCTCCTCCTCCTCCTCCTCCTCCCTCCTCCTCCCCTCCTCCTCCTCCTCCCTCCTCCTCCTCATCTCATCATCCTCCTCCTCCTCCTCCTCCTCCTCCTCCTCCTCCTCCTCCTCCTCCCTCCTCCTCCTCCGCCTCCTCCTCCTCCTCCTCCTCCTCCCCCCCTCCTGTGTTTTTCCCTCTTGCCCCGCCCAACGCCGGCGAAGAAGAGGTGGCTGTCGCCCACGGCCTGCGCAGGGGCCCTGCACCGCCAGCCGCAGGGATCCGCAGCAGCCCTGGTGACCAGACTTGAGTCGGGCCTGTCCCTCCTGACAGGGGGAATATTCAAAAACTCCAAAAAATAGTCTGGGAACGATTTCTTGATTATCTTGTTGCTACTTTGGGTGTATTTGTTGACTATGTTTAAATTGTTCGTCCAAAATCCGCCTGTAGGGGGACACGCCCGACCTAACTCGAGCCGCCCGCGGTCCACGTCGGCACTCTGCAGGCCGAGTCCCGAAAGGCCCCAGGCAAGAACGCCGCAGGGCGACGGAACCAGACTTCTACCGACCACCTTCGGACAGAGGACCGAAAGCTCGAAGGCGGGCCGAATGGGCTCGTCGGGCGCTGTGATTGGATTATAACCCGCCTCGCGACTGGCGCTGCGCTTCACCAAGCCGCCTCTCGCCTCGCCTCTCCGCCCACCACCACCCCCCATTCCGCTTCCTCGCGAGGCGAGGGGGGCTCGCCATGAGCTCCTTCACTCAGGAGTGGAAAACACACAGGCACAAAGAGTCGTCGGCTCCACGGAAAATATTGAAAATGTTGGGAGTGGAGGGGAAGACGAAACTCCAGAAAATATGCAAATAGATGGGGAATCTTGGGAGTTCGTGTTTGTTTGTTTCTGTGTCTGTGTGTGTGTGCGTGTGTGTCCCAGGCGCATCTCCTGGCCCCCTGGCCACCTGGCGCGCCCCGGGCGGTCACGCCGCGAGACCCCTGTCACCGCCAGCATTCTGGCTGGGTTGCCACTTCCTTCCGGCAGCCCCGCGCTTCCTCCTCCCGTTGCGATGCTGCTCCGCCCCACCTCTCCCGGCCCCCTGGCCACTTGGCGCGCCCCGGGCCGCCGCAATACCCCTGTCACTGCCTCTGCTCTGCTCCCGCTTCCGCACGGCTCAGTGCTGCGCCTGCTCCTCGGCGCGCCGCTTTACCTCTGCTGTTCGTGGTGTCCCATTGCGCCCGCCACCCTTGCCACCGCGGTTCGCCACGGCCGCCCACCGCGCTCTGGCCCTGCGCGCCCAGCTGCTGCTGCTGCACCCCCCATGGTTGCTCCTCGTCGAGCTCTTAAACGACTGAGCGTCCTTTCTTCCTCTCGGCCGTCCCTCCCCCCTCTCTTTGCCCGCCGGCCAATTCGCAAGTTAGTGTCCCGTTGCTAGCTTCTCGCTGGAGCGGAGTTCGCCGCCTCGCCGCTGATGAAAAAAGTGCGTGTGTGTGTGTGTGTGGTGTGTGGGTGTGCGTGTGTGCGTGTGTGTGCTTGTGTGTGTGCTTGTGCTTGTGCTTGTGTTCGTGCTTGTGCTTGTGCTTGTGTTTGTGTTTGTGCTTGTGTTTGTGCTTGTGTTTGTGCTCGTGTGTTGTGCTTGTGCTTTTGCTTGTGCTTGTGCTGGTGTTCGTCTTTGTGCTTGTGTGTGTGTTTGTGTTCGTGTTTGTGTTGTGTGTGTTTCTGTGTTTGAGTTGTGTGTGTGTTCCTGTGTTTGCGTGTTTCTGTGTTTGTGTGTTCATGTTTGTGTGTGTGCGTGTGTGTGTGTGCGTGTGTCCCTGGGCACCTTCTTTCACCCTCTGCCAGGTAAGCCCTTCCGGCGTCGCACCGCCCGCGTGCGCGGGCGATCCGCTTCCTTCGCGTGCTCACTCTTGGGCCGCCTCGTGCGCCGCTTGGGAGGCGCGTCCGAGGACGTGGAGCAGGGGATGGGGTGGAGGAGCGAGTAGGGAGGAGCGAGTAGGGAGGAGGAGGAGGAGGCGGAGGAGGAAGAAGAGGAGGAGGAGGAGGAGGAGGAGCAGGAGCAGGAGGACCAGACCACACCCAGGATGCACGAATGATGCTGCAAAACGCACTCCCACCCCAAAACACCTCCGCACGAGTCCATGCACGTATTCTTGGGCATTGCAGGCCGCGTCTTTTTTGAAGACGAGCGCTCCATGTGCATGCATTCCAGTCGAGAGCCCCGTTTTGGAGAGGAACCGCATTCCACCCCTTTTCAGCTGCGGAAAGGGAACGCCAAGAGTCAGGAGGGAAAAAAAAACACACAGACACGATGAATCGTCGATCCCCCAGAAAATATAGGGAAAATATGGGAAGTCGGGGGGGAAGACAAAAACCCAGAACAGATGGGAAAAGATGGGGAATCTGTTTATTTGTGTGCATTTCTTTGTGTGTGTCCCGGGGCCCCTTCACAGAGGTACTGCAGGATGCAGGTGCTGTAAAGTCGAGTGGCGCGTCCAGCGAAGGCCCCCCGGCGCTGCAGGGGAGGCCCCCCCATCCGTCCGCGCCGCTGCCGCTCGGGCACTCACCCCTGGCAATCACCTTGGCATCGCTCGGCCGTGTGCATTTTTCCTTCGGCGAGGGCCATCGAGGAGCATCCTGGATCATTTGGCGAACAACAGCAACAACAACAACAACAACAACAAAAACAACAACAACGAAAAAAAAAAAAACGAAACCGAAAGAAACACAGGGAATGGACGTCCGAGCGATGGCCGGTAACATGAACGGCTGTCTACATGAACAGCCGTCTCGAGCGAGAGGCTCGGCTTGGCAGGAGCCGCCATCCGTCCGCGCGGTTGCCGTGCAGTCGTGCAGTCCTGGTGCTGGAAAAGTGGGGGGGGGAGAGATCCCAGCGAGAGCCTCGTGGGGCCGCACGTGTCGGGAATCTTGAAAAGGCGAATGCGCGTGGCGTCGAGGCGGCCGCAATCGTTTGATCGTTTGAAAGCAGGCCGCCCAGTGTAAGAAACTTGCCAGACGGACGCGCGCTGCGCTAAGACGAGATCACACGTTTGCAGACGGATCGCCCCACGATTGCACAAATGCCACACAGGCTTACACGTCCGATCATGGAAGTTGAAGAAGTATCCAGCAAGAGCCCATGCTGAAAGTCATCTCTGGTCAACCCGTGTACATGTTCGACAGGTGTTATTCGTAGTGCGGGAGCCACATGTTGAAGCCGGCCCGCGCTCCTCCCGTGTAACTGCTGAGAACGGTGAACACGATTGCATCTAGCGCTGAGACGGGAAGCACATGTCGATACCCATCCGCTGTCCAACCAAGTAAAAGTTTCAGGCTCTCAGACAATGAGGGAGCCATGGGCGGAACTTGTGGCTCGTCCCACCGACACGCTTGATGGCGCAACGAGGAGAAGTTATTTGAAAGGCAAGCACACTGAGGAGGAGGAGGAGGAGGAGGAGAGGAGGAGGAGGGAGATAGTGTGAGAGTAAGAAGGAGAGAAAAGAGCGAGAGAGACGGAATGACTGACAGACAGACAGACAGGCAGACAGACAGACAGACAGGTAGACAGGGACAGACAGACAGACAGACAGACAGACAGACAGGCAGGCAGGCAGGCAGGCAGGCAGGCAGACAGGCAGACAGACAGAACAGGCAGACAGACAGACAGGCAGGCAGACAGGCAGAGAGACAGACAGAGAGACAGACACACACAGCGGGAGAGGGAGAGTGAGAGGAGAAGAGAGGAGTGGAGTGGAGGGAAGCGTGAGAAGAGCGAGAGGGAGGAGAAGGAGAAGGGACAGAAAGAGGGGAGAGGGGAAGGCAAGGACCGAGGAGGAGAAGGAGGAGGAGAAGCAGAAGCAGCAATATTGAGGGGCATGGACAGGAACAATGGAGAGAGGAAGGGCTAGGAGGAGGCAGAAAGGAGGAAGGCAGAAAGCAGGAGGAAAACACATGTGGAGGCAGGGCGAGCAGGACCGGGGGGGAGGAGAGGGAGGAGAGGGAGGAGGAGGAGGAGGAGGAGGAGGAGGAGGACCAGTGCAAACACAAGAGTCATTAACGATGTTGGAATGAACCCTCCCTCCAAGCTCCCTCTCCATAGGCCCCTACAACGGTTCATTTCTATTGGAGGAGCTTCCTCGTTGGAAGACAAGCGTTTGAAGACCTTGAAGCATGCCAAAACATTGTTCTCGTGATTTCCCCGCCACGGATCAACCTGGCTGGTGAGCCCTGACGATCTGGAATCAAGCCAGAACGCCATTTGGGGGATTTCAACACCGCGAATCAACATAACTGTTGCGCCCGCATAATCCTGAACCCTTCCAAAACACCGCTCCTGGTACGCTGATGATGGGGATCCGTGGAACCCTTGCAAGGTTGTTAAACGAATGTGCGCGGCGCTAAGGCGAGAGCCACATCTTGAAAAAGGACCGCCCTCAACCCTCGAAACTCTTCCAATGTGCTCAAATGGATGTGCGCGGCGCTACGGCGAGAGCCTCATTTTGAAAACGACCCGCCCTAAACACATGAAATTCTTGCAAATGTTTACAACGAATGCGCGCGGCGCTAAGGCGAGAGTCACATGTTGAAAAAGAACCGCCCTCAACCCACGAAGCTGTAGCATTTGTTTAACGAATCCGCGCCGCGCTACGGCGAGAGCCATATGTTCCAAAGGAACCGCCTTCAACCCGCGAAACTTGCAAATGTTTGCAACGAATGTGCGCGGCGCTAAGGCGAGAGCCACATCTTGAAGAAGAACCACCCTCAAGTTTCGAAACTCTTGCATTTGTTTAACAAATGCGCGCCGCGCTACGGCGAGAGCCACATGCTGAAAAGGAAACGCATTCAATCCGCGAAACTTCTGCACATGTTTAAAAGGAATGTGCGCGGCGCTAAGGCGAGAGCCACATGTTGAAAACGACCCGCCTTCAATCCGTGAAACTCTTGCAATTGCTTGGAAAAAAAGTGTGTATATGTATATGTAAAACAACACTATAAGGAAAAGGAATGGAGGAGGAGGAGGAGGAGGAGGAGGAGGAGGGGAAGAGGAGGAAGAGGAGGAAGAGGAGGAAGAGGAGGAGGAGGAGGAGGAGGAGGAGGAGCAGGACGCCGACGACGACGACGAGGAGGAGGAGGAAGATGATGGAGGAGGGGCAGGAGGAGCACAAGGAGGAGGCTGGTGTTGCGCAACCAGCAGGTGGATCGGCTGCCCGGGGAGGCGCTGTCTACCCACGCGGAGGCGGAGGAGAAGTTGGTGCGGCCGCTGCTGCGCAGGCGCGGGGCCAGAGGGGTGGGGGGGAGGGGAAGGGGGCAAGCTAGGTGCGCTCGCGTCATATATGACGTCCTACCCCCGCCCCTCCCCATCCCCCACCATGGCGTAGATCCCCTTTCTATTCGCACAATATGATGTCGCAGCATGGCATAACATCACATGGCATAGCATAGTGTTGAAACTTACCGCGTAGCATGACATAGCATGGCGTGGCGACGCCCCAAAGTGGGGGCGTCTGCGGCCCAAAAAATCAACGAATCGACACCGAATGTGGAATCACTCCCGATGGTTTCTTTGGGAGTCCATATTTTAGATTGTGGGACTTATTTGGAAGGACAGAAAACCATGCCGTAGCATGGCACTGGAAATAATTACGCTCGCGCTACAGCGGGAGCACTCATCTAGCCCCGAGCTGGGATCCCGCCAGCCAGCGCCGAAAGTCGGCGCGCTCGGGCTGGAAGGCACCAGAACAGCTTTACTCTCACGTTCCGCTCTGGCAGGGCTGAGTGTGAATAGATTTCCAAAAACAGTGCTCGATTACTACATCGAGAGGCACGGGTTGAGGTCGAGTCAAACCTGCTCAGGAGGGAAAAAAACACACAGACACAATTAATCGTCGATTCCCCAGAAAATATAGGAAAATATGGGAAGTGGGGGGGAAGACGAAAACCCAGAAAATATGGGAAAAATATGGGGGGATCCTTTTATTTGTGTGTATTGATTTGTGTGTCCTGGGGCCCCTTCAGAGATGTCCAAAAAAACAGTGTTCGATGACTACGTCCAGAGGCAGGGGTGGAGGTCGAGTCAAGCATGCGTCTCCTGGGCGCGGCCGCGAGCCCGAGACCGACCTTTTCACCGCTGCGGGACCTGCCCCGCGAGTGCCGGGATGGCCCGCTGTCGGGCCACGCCGCATCTATAGAGCCGACCAGGCCGCGGCGGGAGCCGGAGGAGCACCGCCTGCTACAGTGAGCGGCTTGAGTAAGGAACACTTGCTTTTCAGAAGGGGCTCGGCCGTTCCTTAGGCTTGCGTGCGTTATGTACAGTTCCTTTTGCGTTATTTGTTATGTTTCGTTCCTTATGGATCGTTCTTCCTTGGGATAAAACAGGGGCTTCGTTCCTTATTTTATCGTTCCTTAGGTCAGGCCGATGACTGGACTGGCCGAGAGGTAGCAGTCCCAATTGCATGGATCTCTACGATCCCCGAGCCGCCCGACGACCTCGCTGCGGAGGCTGGACCCCTCGTTGCCAAGTTCCCCCCCCCTTTTGCCTCCCGATGCATCCCCCCGCGCCCGCTCCTGCGCGGTCTGCGCGTTGGGGGGCGGATGTGGCCGGCTGGAGATGGCCCGGGAGGGCCCTGCTGAGGGCACCCTCGGCTCCGCGGGACCTCTTGGGCAGTGGTTTCTGTCGACTGGGCCGACCCGCGGGGCTTGAGTGAGTTTCACAAGTCCGGAGGTCTTGGAGGCGCCGTCCCAGGCCCCAGGCGAAGCAGCAATCGTTCCGGACCGTTCACGTTGACTGGAGCTGCCCGCGCTGCCCAGAGCAGGAGCCTCACGCGTCTCACCGACAGCGCGTACGTCCAGAAGGATTTTTGTTCCAGCTTAGGGCCACAGCGCGCTGGACGCGTGAGTGCAATCGAAAGCTTGGGAATTCGGTGAGGGGCCCAGCCCTGGACAGGGACACTGAAGTTGTAAAAATTGCGGGCCACGCCAAGGAGTCAGACTTTGCGCGGGCCTCACCCGAGGCGAAGTCCCTTTTTTTGCCTTCAGCATTCTGGCCGACCACCTTGCTGAGAAGATGCCTCCTGCGGCCCAAGTCCCAGCAGGAGCTGCTGCCACTCTGCGTGAGCTCGAGGTGGAGTCGAAGGACATCCACCGCCGCCTTGCTGCCATTCTGGCAGAGAGGCCGGCTTCCCGCCCGGCTTCTCGCTTGTGCTCGGCCCTGTGGGCCCCTCGAAGCCGAGCTGGACATGACGCAGGCCAGCGCTGACACGCTCCACTCCCTCGGGCCCGTCGACGGCGAGCGCCGACGCCGGCATTGCCGATCCTGCGGGTCTGAACCCCAGAAGTCAAGGGCATAAAAAACGCCCCTACCCTTGTTTACGAGGCGCTGTGCGCTGAAACTCCTGTGGGCTGACAGGGTAGACCCTGCGTGATGTGCCGCGTCCTGGCGGCTCTAGGCTTTGGGGGGTCCCAGGAGGTTTACAGACCACGCACTTGTAACCCAGGGTAGGGTCGTTTTTTCATCCCTCAAAGAAGGGGTCCGAGGGTGCCACTGTGAGGTGGCCTCGAGAGCCCTGCGGTGCCCCATGTTGTTTTGCCAACCCGCTCTGTCGTGCCCCGGGCTCCGTGGCCCCGGCACGCCGTGGCCCGACGGCGCACGCCTCTCACGCGTTGCGGGCGGTGGGAGGCCAGGGTGGGCTCTCGAAGGGAATGGAGTTTCGCCCGTTCGACCTGCGTGGCCTGGCGGGCAGCCAGGGCCCAGGCTCTTCTTTTTAAGCCAGCGTTCGTGCCCACGCACCGCTTGGTGTGTGGTTTGTCAGTCAGTCAGTCAGTCAGTCAACCTGCTGTGGTCTCGGCACGGACCACTACAGGCGGGGCGGGAAGGCGGCGCAGGAGTGCCGGCCCCCCACACGCGCAGGGTCGGCTCACGTGAGGGCCCTCGGGAAGGGCCTCGCCCCTGGCCACACGCGCGTGGCCAGGGAGATCAATTCCCAGGCGTGACCTCGTGGAGCCGCGCCCAGCGCATCGTCTTATCTAATCTAATATGCTCCTCCGTCCTCATCATCCTCATCATCATCATCAGCATCATCCTCATCCTCATCCTCATCAGCATCATCAACATAAGCAGCAGCATCATCGCCAGCATCATCAGCAGCAGCAGCACCATCATCATCATCATCATCATCATCATCATCATCATCATCATCATCATCATCATCATCATCATCCTCATCCTCATCCTCATCCTCATCATCATCCTCATCCTCATCCTCATCATCATCATCCTCATCATCCTGGCGCCGCCGTTCGGCGCCGACGAGCGCGGCGAACCGGAGGCCGCCCCGTGCGCGCATACGCCCACATTCCTTCAAGCGGGGGCCCGCGCCGCCCCCATGCTGCGCTCGCCTCCTCCTTCCGCCTCGCCCCGCCCTCCTCCAGGTTTCTCCTCATGCTGCCCCTCGTGCTCCCCTTCGCCCTGCACTCCTCGTGCTCCCCTCCCCGCTCCTCGCCCTGCTGGGGGAGGAGGCGAAGTAGGAGGAGTAGGAGGAGGAGGAAAAGGAGGAGGAAAAGGAGGAGGAAAAGGAGGAGGAAAAGGAGGAGGAAAAGGAGGAGGAGGAGGAGGAAGAAGAAGAAGAGGAGGAGGAGGAGGAGGAGGAGGAGGCGAAGGGGGAGGGGGAGGAGGGGGAGGAAAGGAGGGGGGCCTCGCCCTGCCCCCCCCCCCCTCGCTGCCGCGCAGCAGCGGCGAGGCGAGGCCCTTTGCATGGGACCCCCTCGGCCCCCCGCAGGTGCCGCGAGGCGGCCGGGCCCGCCGGCGCCCCGCTCCCGCCAGCGCCGGCGGCGGAGCCCCAGTGCAGGGCGGCCGCCCGCACGCAGCAGCACCCAAGGTGCATCTTCGCCGCCTCCCCAGGGATCAAAGGTTTTATATATATATAGTTCTTAACAGCAACAACAACAACAACAACAACAACAACAACAACAACAACAACAACAAAAACAACCACAACAACAACAACAACAACAACAACAACCACAACAACAACAAAAACAAAAGCAAAAGCAAAAGCAAAAGCAAAAGCAAATAATAAAGAAAAAGAAGCAAAAAAGAAGTTGTCGGCCCCTGGGCGCCCTCACCTGGCATCGGGACCGTCAAAGAACGACTCGGGACGAAAAACTGGTCCTGGGGAATGGGTCGAGGCTTCCGGGGACCCCGTGTTGGAAAAAACACGACGTCGGATCTTTGGGCCGTCGCCCAATCGTGCGGGGCCGCTCTCTGGCCGCCATGTCGCCCGGGAGGCCTTCCACGTTTCTGTTGTTGGCTCGTGGGTCATCATCGCTGCGTCGCCAGAGCGGTGCGTCTCACGAGGCTTGCAGGAGAGAGGGCCCCTCGTGCTTCATGCCTGCGTGTGTGGTCTGAGGGCCCGGCGCGCTCTGGGTGTGCGCGCGGTGGCACTCGGTGGTCTACGCCTCGTCGCTACCCGCGAGGCCGCGACCGCCCAACAGCGTGCGTTTGTGTGTGTGGATACTGGGGCTTTCTGGCGGAAGAGTTTCTGATGGTTCTGAAGTCCAGTTCCAGCCAGGGTCCCAAGGATCGGGGGCGGCCACAGGAGGATGATTACTGGGGGGGTCGGGTGGCATGGCTGCGGCCATGACATCTCCCCGGATTTCATGGCTCTTCTTCTCATCACAGTACGTCCCTTGGCTCATGTCGGGCGTGTCCCCCTACAGGGGGATTGTCGACGAAAAATATAAAATTTCCAAAAGGTCTGAAAATACCCCAAAAATAGTCCCCTGACTATTTTTTTGCTATTTTGGTGGGTATTTTTTATTTTTCGTCGAAAAAAACCCCTGTAGGGGGACAGGCCCGACTGAACCTTTGGCTCCCCCCTCGTCCGCGCACAGTCTTAAACGCCCCCCTTCTTGGCCGCTCCCGTGTGAGGGGGAGGCTTCGAGGCCGTCGAACTTTTCCGGCTGTTCTCGGCATTTTGTCCAGCTTTGGGGTGCCGAGGAGTTCAACGAGACGACGTGGCTACATCATGAGAAAACGGACGAGTGGGGACTGTCGGGAAATCAGCTCCTGAAGTACGCATTGTCCTGAGTAGACCCCCGACGTGCGCAGCATCTCATGCGAGGCCATGGCCTCACCCTCCTTGCGCTTAAGGGGCCCAGGCGCATGCCCGCGCAGGCGTTCCGTTCCGTTCCGTTCCACCAGTTGCGCCTCGCCAAAGACGTTCTGGAGGTGCTTGGGTCGTCCCGAACGGCCGCCGGAGAGCCGAAGTATGGCCCGAGAACATGGGGGGGGCGGCGGCACGGGGGAAACTCGCAGCTGTCGTCTTGTGAACGCAAAGTCCACGCCGACAACGAAAAGGATGTCGCCTGAAAAAACGATGCCCAACCAACGTTGCACAGCAAGCAGGTATGACTCGCGATCAAGGGTTAAGTTACGGCACGGCCGCCTGGACGAGGAAGAGCATGCGACTCAAGAAAAAAAGCGACGGATGCCTGCACATTCAGTTCCCCACGCCAACAGAGAAATTCTGCGCACGAGCCCCACAGCGCGCACACGCGGTCTGAAGTTCGCGTCTGTATGCAAGAAATGCTTTGAAGGGAATACTCGGAAGCAGTGCACAAGATGAAGCGACCGAGTTACAGTCGATTTGGTATCGGAGGCCACGGTCTCGTGCGGTTGGCTTCCATCTTTGGTCCCCACGTCTCGTTCTATGGCACGATCCTATCGGGCCTGCCGACACTCCCAACTGTGAGCCCACACTCCGTTCAGGACTCCGTGGATTGATGTGAGTTTGGAGACAAGCCTAACACATACAGTCGGGGCGCTGAAGAAGGAACCCTTTTCGTTGTCCGTGTTCCTTGATTGTTTCACAGCTTGCCCTAGGTTTTCCTCCGGTTTTCGATAAGAAATCGAACTTTAACTGATGGAAAAAAGGGGCCTCGTTCCTTATTTAGGGTTCCTTAGGTCAACGCCCCGACTGTAACACATCATAGCCGACCCGAGCGGTTTTGCATATTCTTCATGTCTGAAAGACTTAAGACAGAGACTTAACAGATTTCCATTGGTCAAGCACTTCGAAGCCATCGGCCCTGCTCACCAATCGACGAAAAAGTTGGACAAGTCATTGACGCACAGGCATAGTATGACGCCGCGCGGGAAACTGCTGAGTTGTCTGTCACGTCGACTGATTAAGTCCACCGACTTGGTTGCCTCGCGCAGACATGCGCGTAAGCAACACGCCGCAAGACTGAATGCGGTAGGACCGGCTTTGTGCACTGGTTCAGCATGTTTTCGATTGCAATAGCAAATTGCCATACGACCTCGCGTGCTTTTCAAGCACAGAAACGAAGAACGAGTATAGCTTCTTCCAGATCACGCATGCGTATCGGTCCGCACGATTAGGATCGAGCAACGTGCCTTCGAAGAAAGAAGTGGACCCATGTACGCTCACGCTTCCGAGTTTGACGAAGACGAAGTTTAACGCGGACTTCCGCCAAACCTCGCGAGCTTCCATCGCTTCTGGGGGTCCGGATAGGTGGAGTCGCCGCTGGGCTCGGGATTTTCTGGTTCTTCTGGAACGTGTGCCGGCTTTTTCTGGCGGACTTGGTAACAGGACAAAGCCCCGTGGAAGCGTTCTGGAATTGGAAACGGCATTAGTTTCGGGAGGCCGCAAACGTTATGTAGCAGGCTGCGGTCGTCGAAATCATATGTGTAGGAACATGATGGGCACGTGTTGTGCTCTACGTGCACGAATTGTGAGGTATCGTTCCCTGTATCCGCAATCGGTTTGCCTCGTCCACATTTACGAAGGCTGTGGGGATGACCACACGTGCGCGCCATAGCTCCTTTTCGAGTGTTTGTGCTCCTGCGTGCACGTCCTTGTCCGATGTACCATGCGTTCGTACCCAGCTGAAGGACGAAAGATCGCTTATGCATATGTGGTGCAGACGCACATTACTCAATCCATTTGACACCGTAGAAAATCACGTATCTCAAGCAGGCCGAAGAAGGAGGCCAGGCCAGGATTGCAAAGAACACGACGTAGAGACGCAGCAAGCGGCAACACGCATATTTTGGCAACCTTTCGAGGCCGCCTCTTTTTGAATCCACTGCTGACGAACTTTCAGGATAGCGAGAACCGTCAGCATAGAGATTTACATGTTGCAGAACTGCGTGGAAACACAGCATTGTCACCTAAAAAAAGATATTGCCGTTTCTGTGATGAGGTGTTCAAGCAAGACTATGAAGTCGGAGGGAGGGCGTTGGTGAGAAAGCTGTCATAGCGTCCCGAGCATGATTTGTTCAGCCATCGTGTGTCTGAACTATTCGTCAGTTACATTTTCGAAGAGGAACGTCGAGAAGATCGGCCCACCCAGCTTTCGAAATATACTGTTTACATAGTTCATCTAGACAGCTTACTTCGGGATCGTGGCAAAGGATCCCTTGGCATTGATGCATCAACTGCACGGATAGGCTCCGGGATAGGTGTGACCTCACAACAGGGTCTATTTTCCACGATAAGGAGCAGTGGATGTCGAATTAGAAAGGCTATGGAAGGGGATGGCGAGAGTGGCACGGCAGGGTATACGATCTTCCCTCAACACCATCGCGCACACATCGTGGACAGCGTGAGGTAGACTATGGCTTCCCACCAAACATCATGCCGACGGAGAGCAGTGAGGTATCGGAGTCTGTTCCTCAAGAGAGCGTCTAGGCTCCAGCTCTTCAGCGCCCCCTGCAGGCGGGACACCCGAGGCCCGCAGGCCATGCATTGAGAGACATGGCAGGAAGACAGGATTAGATTGACGGGGTCCGCAACCAGCGTGAGCGCGAGCATGCAGACAAAATGAAGGAGGTGTGTCAGCAAAATGTTGCGTGTGCTGTGTTGCACGTGGTGTTCAGCCGCTCTGGTTTGGCCCGAGCAGGCGCACACAATAGAATGAGAAATCGAGCAGTGCCAAGGAAGCACACACACACAACCACAAGCACAAACACAAACACACAACCACCACCGCCACACCACCTTACCCGAGCCAACCCCCACCCCCACCCCGCCCGAAACGAATTTCCAGCTCATCACGTGCCTTCACATATAGATCCTCACCCTCTTGCCCATGATGTCTTCCTCGTCTGACTCCTTCCCCATATCCTCCTCCACACGCCCCTCCTACAACTTACTGCCACTACGGCTACTCATCATAATATTTCGTAGTAACACAATCCTCATGGTCATCCGCATTCTCCTCCTCCTCCTCCTGCTGCTCATCATGATCCTCCTTCTCGAGATCGTCGTCATCGTATGCACCGCCCTTCTCTTCCTCATCCCTTCTCCTCCCTTCCTCCATCCTCGCGCCCCCCTGCGTTCTACTCCACCTCGTCATCCTCCCCCCCTTCCTCCTCCGCCCGACAGGTGCTCCGTGCTCCGCTGCCTCGGCTTGGCGTAACGGCCGAATGGCCTCCTTCGCTGCTTGGGGGCTCCCTGCTCTGCCTATGGAGCTCACCGGATGCCGCACACGTCGGCTGGTACAGGGGTGAAAGCTCGGCGGGGCGGGGCCAGGCTCGGTCCTCCTCCTTCTCCTCCTCCTCCTCCTACTCCTCCTCCTCCCTCCTCCTCCTCTTGCTCCTCCTCCTCATCATCCTGGATCCTCATTCTTTTGCTTCTCCTCCTCCTCCTCTTGCTCCTCCTCCTCCTCCTCCTCCTGCTCCTCCTCGTCCTCGTTCTCCTCCTCCTCACTCCTCCTCCTCTCTCCTCCTCCCTCTCGTCCTCCTCCTCCTCATCCTCCTCATCCTCCTGCTACTACTCCTCCTCCTCATCATCATTTTCCTCCTCCCCTTGGCTCCTCCTCCTCCTCCTCTCCTCCTCCTCTTGCTCCTCCTCCTCCTTCTCCCCTGCGCCTCCTCGTCCCCCTATTCCTCCTCCTCCCCTCCTCCTCCTCCTTCCTCCTCCTCCTCCTCCTCCTCCTCCTCTCCTCCTCCTCCCTCCTCCTCCTCTCCTCCCTCCTCCTCCTCTACCTCCTCCTCCTCCTCCTCTTCCTCCTCCTCCTCCTCCTCCTCCTCCTCCTCCTCCTCCTCCTCCTCCTCCTCCTCCTCCCTCCTCATCTTCCTCCTCCTCCTCCTTGCTTTTCCCTGTCACACCCCGAGGCCCGTTTTTAGGGTGGGCTGGGCATTTCGCCTGAGACTTTCTCACCATCTATGGTTCTGAAGCTTAAAATTGGCAACAGCTTTACAGATGGAGGGCGGGTCGTTTTCAAAATGTGGCTCTCGCCGTAGCACGGCGCACATTCTTTTTCAAAATTTGCAAGAGCTTCACGGGTTGAGTGAGGGCGGGTCGTTTTCAAAATGTGGTTCTCGTATTCAGCGCGGCGCACATTTGATAAAAACTTGTAGGAGCTTCACGGATTGAGAGTGGGTCGTTTTTTTAATGTGGTGTTCGCTTTAGCGCGGTGCATAGTCGTCTTAAAATGCAAGGGTTTCACGGTTTGAGGGCGGGTCGTTTTCAAAATGTGGTTCTCGCCGTAGCACGGCGCACATTCGTTTCAAAATTTGCAAGAGTTTCATGGGTTGAGGGCGGGTCGTTTTCAAAATGTGGCTCTCGACTTAGCGCGGCGCACATGTTTTCAAAAAACGGCAAGAGTTTCACAGATTGAGGGCGGCTCTTTTTCAAAATGTGGTCCTTCTAGCGCGGCGCACATCCGTTTTTAATTGCAAGAGCTTCACGGATCGAGGGTGGTTCTTTTTCAAAATGTGGTCCTCGCTTTAGCGTCGCGTACATTGTTTTTTTAATGCCAGAGCTTCACGGACTCCCATCATCAACGTGCTAGACATGGTGTTTTGAAAGGATTCAGGATCACGCGGGCGTGCCAGTGACGTTGATTCGCTGTGTTAAAGTCCCCGGAGTGGCGTCATTGCACGATTCTGGATCGTCAACACGCAGCAGTCAAGTTGATCCGTGGCGTTGGAATCCCGAGAACAATGCTTCAGCATGTTGCAGGGTCTTCAAACGGCTGCCTTCCAACGAGGCAGTTCTCTCAATGGAAATAACCGCTGTAGTGGCTTATGAAGAAGAAGCTTGGAGGGAGGGTTGATTCCAACATCGTTGACGCCCCTTGGCTTTACACTGGTCCTGTTCTTCCTCCTCCTCCTCCTCCTCACTCCTTCTCCCCCTCCTCTTCCTCCTCTTCCTCCTTCTTCTCCTTGTCCTCCTCCTCATCCTCCTCCTCCTGCTCCTCCTCGTCCTCCTCCTCCTCCTCCTCCTACTCTTCCTCCTCCTGCTCCTTCTTCTCTTCATGCTCCTGCTCCTCCTTCTGCTCCTCCTCCTCCTCCTCCTCCTCCTCTTTCCCCCCTCCTCCTCCTCCTCCTTCTCCTCCTTACTCCTGCTTGTTCCCCGCCCTGCTGCCTCCTCCGAGCTCATCCGCTTCCTCACCATCCTGTTTCCCCCTCCTTGTATCCCTCCCTCCTCCTGTCTCCCCCCCTCCTCCGCTGTTTAGCGAGCAAATGCCGCGCACCACGATGTTGATGTTGCTGGGTTGCAGGCGTGCGGCGGTGCGCGTTTGAGCATCCGGGCGCTTGCCACAAAGGACGGCAGACTCTGCGTGCTGCAGACTTTTCGGAGCAGGTGCAGCACAGGAGGAGAGGGGGGACCAGGAGGGGTGGATGAAGGGAGCGAGGGAGGGAGGAGGAGAAGTAGCAGGCGGAGGAACGAGGGAAGGGGGGAGGGAGCGAGAGAGGGAGGGAGGACGGGAGGGAGGGAGGGAGGGAGGGAGGGAGGGAGGGGGAGGGAGGGAGGGAGGGAGGGATGGGTGGAGGGAGGGAAGAGGGAGGAAGGGGGAAGAGGAGGAGGAGGAGGGAGGAGGAGGAGGAGGGGACAGGCGGGCAGGACAGCAAAGAGACAGGACGGGGAGGAGGCAGGGGAACGGGACTGGGAGCAGAGGAGGCAGACGGCGGGAGGACGGGAGGTGCGCCGGCCGCTCGCCCCCCCGGCCGCCCACCCACGCAGCAGGCAGTCGTCCTTTTGGCAGGGGCGAGGCAGGCGGGGAGGGAGGGAGGACGAGGGCCAAGGCAGGAGCACGCGGAGGAGGATGGGGAGGAGGGAGGAGGAGAGGGGGCGGAGGGAAGGGAGGGAGGGGGCGGAGGGAGGGGGGAAAGAGAGAGGGAGGGAGGGAGGGAGGGAGGCGGCGAAGGAAAGGGGGAGAGGGGGAGAGAGAACGGCCAGATACGCACACATTCGCTCCTGATCATGGTTCACCTCTGCATTCCACAGACGCTGTAAGCTCGGGAGCTCTATCCTCCTGATCATCCTCCTCGTGCTGCTTCTCATCCCCCCTCACGGTTGTCCGCCGCCACTACTTTTTATGTTGCGGGACCCCGCACCCGTGTTGAAACATGGACAAAATTCGGATCGAGCATTTGCCCATGTATTCCGCGCAAGGAGGAGGAATTGTCAGCAGCCTTAATGTGTTGTCATTGGCCTCTGTCGGCGTGTTACTTTTACCTCGATGCCTCACTGCGCTGGAAGAACGCAATGACCACGATGCTTATGTATGGCCAAAGTCAAAACGAGGAGGAAGAGGAGGAGGAGGAGGAGAAGAACATCTGCGGAGTTGCTCGCCTGTCTTTCGGAATCGCCCGTCTCGCGCACGTCACCGCCACACGTCCGCCAGTACCCATAGGCAGCAGCGCAAAAGCTTGCATACGCAGTTCGGAAAGTCTAGACGCGTCGCGTGACCCCACCAGTCTATCCAGAAACGATGCCCAGACGAGTTGGTTTGATCAGGGATGTGGGTAAGACGTCATGCCCTTGGGGTACGATGGAGGAGGAATCGGAGGAGCAGAAGGAGGAAGAGGAGGGAGGAGGAAGGATGAGGAATAGGCGGATGAGGAAGAGGATGATGAGGATGAGGATGGTGATGATGATGACGATGATGATGATGGTGATGATCATAATGACGATAATGTTGATGATGCTGATGATGATTGTGGCGATTATGATGATTGTGATGATGATGGCGATGATGATGATGATGATGATGATGATGATGATGATGATGATGATGATGATGATGATGATGATGATGATGATGATGATGATGATGATATGAATTGATGTTGTGATGATGATGATGATGATGATGATGCTGAGGATGATATTGATGATGATGGCGATGAAGCTGATGATAATGGTGATGATGGTGATGGTGATGGTGATGGTGATGGTGATGGTGATGGTGATGGTGGTGGTGGTGATGGTAATGGTGATGGTGATGGTGGTGGTGATGGTGATGGTGATGGTGATGGTGATGGTGATGGTGATGGTGATGGTGATGGTGATGGTGATGGTGATGGTGATGGTGATGGTGATGGTTATGACAATGGTGGTGGTGATGATGTTGATGAGGAGGAGGAGGATGAGAAGAATGATGATGAGTTGCAGGATGAGGAAAGCCAGAAGCTTCTTGGATGCCTATCGGAGTCTATTCGGATTTCTGCCGAGGGCTTCTTGGAGTCCTCTTGGGGTGTCTTAGGGGTCTCTTGGCAGCCCCAGGGGGCACCTCTTGGGGCACCCTTGGGAGTCTCGGGGGCCATCTTGGAGGAGTTCGATCAAAGTAGGAGCCGTACTCAATTAGGCCCCCGCCCCAGAAGGCCAAAATGTGGTCAGAATTGTAGCGATGTTAATGAATTCGGCTTCCTCGCCGATGCCATCCTGGACGCTCTAACTACCCGCGACCCCTCCCCTCCAGACCCAGGGGGAGACCTTCCCTAATGGAGCGGTAAACCGCTCCCACTGACGACAAAATTGTCCCGCCCGTTCCCTCCCCCGGGCGACCCATCCCAGATGCTTGCCGGAGGGCCCCCGATCGTCCTTCTGATTTCCGAACGGTCTTAGGCTGGCCCCATCGCCCCCGAGGGCCTCCAAAAAGTCGCCTTTTTGGGAGGCATTTTGGGGCCCTCTTGGGGCCCTCGTGCGGCCATCTCGGGGTCGTCTTGGGGCCGTCTCGGAGCCATTTTGCTTAGCATCGCTCGGACGTGTGCATTTATCCTTCGGCGAGGACCATCGAGGAGCATCCTTGACCATTTGGCGAAAAACCCACGCACGACACCGACAAAAGCACAGGGAATGGACGTCCAAGCGAAGGCGAGTTTGCGCCCAGGTAGGCCCTACTGGGGCCCTCTCGAAGCCATCTCGAGGCCGCCGACGCCCATCGGGAGCAGAAAGCTGGGAGGCCAGAAGAACCCAAAAAAACGAAGTGATTTGTTTGATGAGTTTCGCCTCACGGGTGCCTCCTTCCTTGGCGAGCTTTGTGTAAGCATCGGGCCGTCTCGTGGCTGTTTGGGCGCATCTTGGACGCGTGCTGGAGACCATCCAGGGCTAGCGTCGACCACCGCGCGCCATCCTGGAAGCCGTCTCGGGCTATCTGGAGCTCTCTTGGAGCCATCTTGGCTGCCCAAAGGTGGTCCCGAAGGGTCCCAGACGCCCTCCGCTGGGGTTCAAGAGGGGCCCCAGATGCGTCCAAATCGGTAAAGCGCCAACAAAGGTCACCCTTCTGCGGAAGACGGAACATCGTCAAAAACCTCAAGACGGCCCCGACACGGCCCAGGACGGCTCCAAGGCGCCCCAAGCGACCCCCAAGACGGCCCAAGGTGGCCCCCAAGACGGCCGCAGACGTATCCAAGAGGCGCCCAAGAAAGTTCCAAGATGTCTCCGATAACGACCTTTTCTCAGACTCATTCCCGGACTCCCCCGGGACCTTCCTGGAGCCCTCCTGGGATTCTCCCAGACCCCTCCATTCTCTCGACAAGCCGCGTCTTCTGAATATCCCTTTCTTTCTTGTTAGATGCATGTACGATCCGCCTGCTCCCGAGCTGGTGATGGTGACCATCACTGGAAAGATCATGGACGAGTCGATGACCATCGAGATATTCATACCAGTGTACAGAATAGGAAAAGGGACAGCTAGACTGGTGAATGGGGCGAATTGGCTTTCCGGAAAAACATCGTACGAAGATGATCCTAAAAATTCAGCAACGAGAAGGAAGCGA